CGCAGCGTTGGAGCAAAGAACGGTTCGCATACCTGAGGACATCCAAGAAGGCATAAGAAAGCAAGGAGAGATCATGGATGAAAAGCTACAGCAGCTTGAAGAGATGAAAGCAGCAGCCAAGGAAAGAAGAGCAGAAGTAAAAGCAGAAGCGGATAGAGTTGCGGACAAGGCAGAAGAAGAGAAGCCTGGAGAAGAAGAGAAGCCAAGAGAAGAAGAGAAGCCAAAAGAAGAAGAGAAGCAAGAAGAAGGAAAGCAAGAAGAAGAGAAGCAAGAAGAAGAAGAAGAGCAAGAAGAAGAGAAGCAGGAAGAAGAGAAGCCAAAAGAGAAGGAGGAAAAGAAAGATGCCGAGGAAGCGGTAGTTCAATCCTCTGACGAGGAAGCCCGCGAGGCAATGGAAGCCCTCAGAAGTGGTTTCAACATAGACACAATGTCTATATTCCAAACAGTTATGGGAAAGCTGAACGTCGAAAGCATTCGACGGGCCATGCCAACAACGAACCTAGAAAAGGAATTCTTGACATGGCAAGAGCAGATGAGACGCCCTGTCTCAAGACTCCCATCTGGGTACGGCTTAAGGACCGCAGAGTTTTTAGCAAAAGTGGAAGACGACATGCAAGAATATATGGAGAGTATGTCCACGTTGACAGAAGACGAGAGGAAGGCTGAAGAAGCTTACAAGCAAGCCAGGGAAGAGATGGATCAATGCGAGCAAGAACTCAAGAAGGAGATGAAAGAAAAGCTCGAAGCAAAGATGAAGAAAGTGCGAGAGCTCGAGGAGGAAGCAGTCGCAGCAAGAGGAGATGTTGAGAAGACAAGCAATGTGAGAAGTGCTTTACAGAAGTTAGGCGAAGTGGTGCAGACGGCAGACAAGCTACTGTCAGCTCTAAGCGAAGAGTTCAAAAGCCTAGATCTGTACACAAGGCCAGAGCCAGATCAAGAAAAGGAGCGACAAGCCTTAGCAAAGCTTATGGCGACGATCAAGAGAAAAAGCGAGGCAAGCAGCCCAGCAACGCCAGCAGCAAAGGCGAAGCCAATGCCAAAGAAGGTACCTCAGTTCCTCAAGATTACAGATGAAGAAAGAAAGGCAGCGAATACTTTGGAGAAGCAGATAGCTTTGAAGAGCAAGCTGAGATCATCGCTCAAGGAAGCAACTGATGAATCGATAGAAAAGGCAGCGAAGGCAAAGTTGGATCACAGCAAGGAGAAGCCAAGCGAGCCAGAAGGCACGCCACCAAGAAAAAGGGTGAACCCGATTTGGCTTAAGGATCCAAGAGAAGAGTCGTTCAAGAAGACCAAGTACATGCACTGTTTCTATTGCAAAGCGACGGACCAGCATAAAGCTCCGGAATGCCCGGAAATGGAGAAGGCTGTCAAGATGTATTACGAAGGCACAAGGCCGGACAGCAGCAATACCGAGGGCAAGATCTTTTGTAAGTTCTGCTTTCTAAATTTCACACCTCAACTACCGGACCTTTAAGTATAAGGGGTGGGGTACACATACCCCGGACATCTGCAAGTACAAGGACGATGTCAGGAGCTACTTGGAAAGCAACAAGTACACGTACGACAAGGAGTTAAAAGACATCCAAGAGACAGATGGCCCAGGATATACCCCGAAAGACAGTTGGGGAGCAGAACCAAAGAAGCCTAAGAAAAGTGATGAAGAAAAGGCTGAAAAGAAAGCAGAGGACAAGGAAGCGAAGAAGAAAAAGCCAGCGGACAAGTCCAAGAGCAAGGACAAGGATAAAGAGAAGAAAGCTGAAAAGGCTGAAAAGGAGAAGAAGCGGAAGAGCGAATCTCCGTTCGATCAAGCAAGAGCTGAGAAGCGACAGCGTGTAGAAAAGGAGCTGGAGTAAATCAAGGTTGCGGATTAAAACGCAAGCAAAAGGCCGTGAGGGCGGAAATCGCCCAGCAGCAAGCGTGAGGGCGAAATCGCCCAAGGCAAAGATGTTTCACAACGAAAGCCTTAGGAAGAAGCTTGTGAGAAGCGTGGGTAAAGCCACAGCAAAAGCCACGAGGACTGCGTAAAAGTCCCACGGCATACGTCAAAGCACTACGAGCACAACGATTGTTTAAAGGTCAATGACAGAAGGCTGAAAAGCCAACGCAGGACTGATGAAAGAAGTCCAAAAGCCAAGAAGGCAAGCCAAAGTTTCCAGATTGCCGAAGAGCAAGAATGGACCTACATCGCGAAACGCGACGTGAAGAAAAAGTGAGTGCACATTTAGATTCTGAGTGAGTCCATGCCAATCGTGTGCGGAGTGGAAATTCGCAAATCTGCTATAGGACATCTGAAGATTGAGGATGAAGACCAAAGGAAGAAAAGGATAAAGATGTTCAACAAGTGCTCAAAGAAGCGTGCGAGAAGAGAAGATCAAGCTCACAGGAGCATGCGAAAACAGTGGTAGAAGTAGGAAAAGTTTCACAAGGATCACGTTACACGACAAAGCTGTGTACGTGATGAGGGCGTAACAGATAGTTCAATTTTCCCTCATGCCCATTCAGCCCGACATCGGAGCACAGAGTGAGAAAAGATTCCAAGCTCGCGCCGTGGTTGTAAGAAGTATACTGGTATAAGGGTTTAAACTTTCAAACAGGCTGACTCTGAAGTCGATGACGATATGCCACCCGGCGACTGCTTGCCTGGCCATCCACTCAATCCGTGGCTTGGGCTGGTCAAGCCCAGTGGCCAGCCTGTAGCAAGCCAGGCAGGCCGTGGTGGCATCCAGCATGGCCTGTCTGGCTTGCTACAGGCTGGCTGTGAAGTTGGTTTTTGCTATATTGGCTTCCTCTGGGGAGAATATGTGATGATGGCATCGTTGGGTTGCTAGAGACTGACTCTGAAGTCTGTCTATGACATGTGTGGTTTTTGCTTTGTTGGCTTCCTCTGGGGAGAATATGTGATGATATGGGCTTGCTGCTCGAGTGGTCGAGACGATGTGGTCAGCAGGGTATATTGACGACATGGCTCAAATGTTCCAGGGTCGTTTGTGCTCAAGACCGGAGCTAGCAAGTGTTGGGCTGGGCCACGTCCACCGGCCATGAGCTCTGCTGTGGCTTCGGCCTTGCACGGCTTGGTCGGGCCTCTGGTTGGACTGAACAGGAGGCTGGTTGTTTGCGAGCCTTGTGCTGGAATAAGTGCCTGGAAAGCCATATGTGACAGCGTCGGATTAGTTTGGTCCCCCGAGGATTGCTACGAGTTTGATGCAGCTTTAGGTGCCTTTTGGAGGAAGCATTTGGGAACACGTGCCCAGTCCATGCATCTGGACAAAGCTGGTGACATCAACTTCATAAATTGCAATGGTCTTGAGAGTGACGTCGAGGTGCTGGTGGCAGGACCACCATGTCAGCCTTGGAGTCCCAGTGGCAAGCGAGGGGGTGAATACGACGACAGGAGTTTGGTTTATTTGCAGGTGATCAGCATGATCGTGCATTATGCACACAAAGGCTCCTTGTTGTTTTCCTCGTGGAAAATTCATCATTGCTGGCCAAGACTGCTTTCTTAAGGGATGTCATGCAATACTTGTCGGTGGCCATTCCGTGGTTTGTTGTGGATTATGTCCAGCAGGACCTCCAGGCTGTGTTCCCCCATTCCAGGTCCAGGGTGTGGTTGCGTGGATTTCGCCGAGATTGTTGCAAAGAGAACATAATCCCGCAACCCGTGCGGGATCCGTGGAAGTTGGCAGGCTGTCCCAAGCCCACCTTGAGGTCCTTGTTGATGCAAGGCATTGGCAACACGGATCCCGGTTTGCTGTCTGCAAAGCAGCAGCACAATCTGGAACAGTACAAAGGATTCGTCAAGCGAGATTTGCTTGACGGCCACTGCTTTGAGCTTGCGGTCCTGGAAGTAGACAGAGCACCTGGCACCCTGTACGGTTCTCGATATTATCGGGACATTTGCCCGGCTTTGCGAAGTGCAGGTGGTAGCCTGTTCGTGTTGTCCACAGGTGACCTAGATCAGGAGTGGCGGGAGCAGGGGTTCCACCGGCCCTTGACCGCTCAGTCAGGAGAGACTTGTGTTGCAGGGGCACAGCGGTGAGTTGTATTATGATTTCTACAGATCCTCCGACTGTGTGAAAGCCACGGGCAATGCGTTTCACACATTGGCTTTGGCCATGATGATGCAGCCTTTGTGTCAGGCTGCAATGGATGCTGGAAAGCTGCAAAGCAGCAACCAGCAAGCCCCCTTGCAGCCGAATGAGGTAGCAACCCTGTGCCGTGTTGCATATTCTGGAACTCAAGCTTTCAAAAAAGCTTCGGAGAATATAGCTGAGCAAATTAAGTATTTTCAAATTCTGATGCATTGGCATGAAATTAGCATTGCCAGAACCTAGTGCTAGTTTGTGGAAATCCACCACAGACTCAGGGCTTAAGAGGCAACAGGACAGCACGAAAACTTGCAGACAGCGATGCCTTAGAGGGGATGATATTCATGGGTGATTCTTGCGAAGACCGTTTGTGCGATTCTCGAGTACATGTTGGTTGGTCGCGGCTGTTTTGGCCCAAGGCTTGGAAACCGAGTCCGTGCCCTTGAAACAAGAGTCTTTCCTGGATTCCTCACTCCTTTGCGAAGCTTCAGAGCTTGGCTTGGAGACCGAGTCCCCTCGAAACAAGGGTCTTTCCTGGATTCCTCACTCTTTGGCGAAGCTTCAGAGCTTGGCTTGGAGACCGAGTCCCCTCGAAACAAGGGTCTTTCCTGGATTCCTCACTCCATCCCCCTTGGCTTGGAGACCGAGTCCCCTTGAAACTTCTCAGGCCCCTTAGATTTCGAGTGGCAGGCATGACGGAGTCAGAACTTCGATGCATAAAGTGCGACGATGCGGTGACACTTGAGACTAGTCACGCCAGTGGACGGAACGTCCTAAGGCGTGTCTGCGGGGATTGTTCCGGCACTGACCGGTGGCTCCACAGGTGCCGCAAAACTAAGGACAAGAAGGGGGGGAAACGGAAAAGGAACGAGAAGCAAGAGTGAACGCCGAAAAAGTGGCTCGCTCAGCAAAATGAGCACTGAGGAGAAGTTTACCTGGTACAGAAAACAGAAAGCCCAAAGGCTCGAAAACGGCACAAGCCGCAAGCGTACCTTCGAAACGGCGGTAGGAGCTTTAACGGAAGAGAGGAAGAGGATGGAAACCCAACAGGACGTGGACCGGTGGTTCCGGTTCAAGGACTGGGCGGCGAGGGAGGCGTTGCTGACAGGAGCAAAGCCCGAAGAGCTGCCCAGGTTGTGGAAGGCAGAGATCTCGAAGCCCGGCGCAATCACGAAGGTTGTGCGAGGCGAGCTCTTGTTGAAGGAGTGGTCAGGCTGCGAAGACCGCTTGGGGTCGCAGCACGAGCTGTCCACCTCCGTGAAGCAGAGGATGGATCTCGCCTCAAGGGAAGACCTGGAGAGATTCCATGAGATCTCTGCTGGCAGGCTCGAGCGAGGACAGAACCTCCTTTCGGCCGACCGTCTTGTGAACAGTGCAAACAACACAAGGCAGGAAAGCCAACTCCTCAATGTCGTGGCTGACATGGAGGAGGCGGCACAAACCCGCAGGGAGCTGGAGGCCCGTCTCTTCGAAGAAGCCGAGATCGCCGAGGCGAGGCGAAAAGCGGCGCAGGAAGAGAAGCCGAAGGTTTCCAGTGCAACACTGGAAAAGTTGCAGTACGAGCAGTCGATGGTTCAAGCGGACACCACGATCGAGTCGTGGTTGCGGAAGCATCGGAATTCCTACACCGGCATGGTTGCGGACATCAAAGAAGCCGGCATCGAATCCGATGCTGGCGGCAAAGCCGAGCTGCAGATCAAGACCCAAGACTTCGAGCGGTTGGTCTCCGAGCTGAAGCGGGAGGTGATGGAGAAGCTTCAGACACTTGGCTCATTACAGATCTTTTTGTGTTGCAATCGTGAGCCGAGGGAGTTGACTAGTGAGGGTTGTCCCGGCTTCAATCCTAAAGCAATCCTCCACGGATCCCATCGGAAAACCCAGTAAGCACTCGAGGAGTACACTGCTGAAGGTTCCAGTGGGATATCCTGGAGTTGTCTCGGAAAGAAGTCGGCATTTTGTCACTTCGTGTTCAGAGTTCTCCTTTGCCAACAACCAGAACCATCTTTATCAACACGTCACCATCCTACCATTGCCTTTTGTGTTGTGTTCAAGCCTCTTTGCACACCACACACCAGAGACACAGATGTAGACAGATACATACACACATGCATACATTCATACATGCCTTGTGCATACCATAGCTCTGCTTGTTCCGATTTTCGTCAATATGTTGGCCTTACCTAGCGGAGGCATGGCACGGGCTCTTTAAATGCCACCCCGCACAGACTCTGGCCGTGTCTGGGGCCGATCATGTCTTGCCGTGCTGGAGCAGCCCCTTAAAGCCAACTCGCTCTGCCCGGGGCGAATGACAGCAGGACATTGAGCTAACGTGTCTGCTGGGGGGCGGAAGTCAGTGAACGTTCACGGGAATCTGTGCAAGTCGCAAGCATGATCTCACAAGGGAGGCCTTATTGTTCATGCCGTCGCATATAATTTACATGCATATGTATATACACGCGTAGACATGAACAGCCTGACTTTCCGATGCTCATGACTTGTGTGTTGATTTTGCGTGATAGGAATTCAGCTGCAGGAGCAACAGCGATGCACAGCCTTTTGAGTTCCATTGAAACTTTGGTTATTGCTGGAGGCTTCACTCCTGTGTTCCTTGAAACTAAGACACCCTAAACCCTAAACCCTAAACCCTAAAAGAAACCTTAAAGCCTAAACCCTGAACAGCGGGTATGTGATGATTCTAAGGAAAATCAAGGAGGATGGGGAGGCGGATGGCCCGACGGACCTGGAGGAACTGGCTCGGCATTGGAATGCACTCTACATTCGGGTGTCCAAGGCTGTGAAGGAGGTCTCGACCTGCCAACCCGCCGCCGATCTGAAGAAGTTCTTGGGCGGCTTCCGGAGCTGGGTGAACCAGTTCAAGAAAAAGGTCGGGAACTCGAAGAAGACAAAGAAGGACAGCAGCAAGGACGAGAACAAGAAAGCGAAGGTGAGCGGCCCTCCTGCGGGAACTGGTACGAAGATGGGCGAAGAGATCCTCAGCAGCTATGCCGGGGCCTTGAATGCCGGGCAGGAGGTGTCCGAGAATTTCAATTTGGCCAATGAATGCTTCAATGCCCTCGACTGGCTGTGCCAGGGCAAGGGGTCGCAGTGCCTGCTTATCACCGCAGCACAGACAAAAGCCTTCGTCGATGACATCTGCGGGCTGACCTACTTCGCTCAGCAGAAAGAGTGGGTCTATGAGAGCTGGAGCAAGGACAAGGCCAAGGCCCAGGTGTCCTTGGCCCTTGTGGCCAAGAGCAACATTGCGACGAAGATCCTCAAGGGTTAAGCCCACGTGCTGGGAAAAAAAAGCAGAAGATGAATTGATCTCCGTGAGCACGGACGTGGATCCCCTCCTCGGCGAGATCTTCATACCCTGCTTTTGGTCCTTCGGCAAGAAGACCCACAAGATCTTCTACTCCACCGACTACGGCCTGACGGAGTTCAAGGTGATCTTGGAAGGGGCGTGCCTTTTCATCGGCAGGCCTGTGCCAGATGACGGCCTCAAGAGCTTCGGCAGCTTCTGCCAGACCGTGAGCGAAAACGAGAGCCAGAACTGGCTGGATGAGTGCAACGATCATGGCTGGGCTGTTCTGCTGAAGAAAGGCGACATGCTGGGAATCCCAGCTGACCACGCCTACATTCAGGTCTGTGTGGAAGAGTCCCACGGCGTCAGGATCCTGAAGGGCTCCCGCCGTGGTCTCAAAGCCAGCAAAGAGATCCTGCAGGCCAGGATCGAGCAGTGGCCGGAGTTGCAGGAGCATCGTACCGGAAAGCTGCTGGCCTGGGCGAACTCGGTGTGAAAGATTTTTCTTTTTCTGGATGGGGTTTTCCGGAGCGATGGAAGAGACGTGGCTCCAGCGAGGCGTTGCTGAGCGGGAGGGAGAGACCAGGCTTGCCATGCACACACCAAGGTGTGTGTGTGTGTGTGTGTGTGTGTGTGTGTGTGTGGGTGTGTGTGTGTGGGGGGGTGTGCGTGTGGGTGTGTGTGTGTGTGTGTGTGCGTGTGTGTGTGTGTGTGTGTGTGCGCGTGGGTGTGTGTGTGTGTGTGTGTGTGTGTGTGTGCGTGTGTGTGTGTGTGTGCGTGTGTGTGTGTGTGTGCGTGTGTGTGGGTGTGTGTGTGGGTGTGTGTGTGTGTGTGTGTGTGTGTGTGTGTGTGTGTGTGTGTGTGTGTGTGCGTGTGCGTGCGTGCGCGACGTTTGATCTTTGTCCAGGGTGACCTGCAATGCTTTTTCTTCGAGCCCGAATGTTCATCCCAAGGTTTGCTTCTCGCTATCGCAATTGCGACCTTCCGCAGCTACCGGATTGCGAGAGAAAGAGTGCTTGTGTGCGAAGCGGTAGGATTGTTGCTGTAAGCGTGTGTTCATGTTCTCTCCATGTTCTCTCCATGCAGCTGTTGGCCTGAACGGCTTCCGTGGCAATGTGAAACGGTAGGATTGTTGCTATAAGCGTTTGTGCATGTTCTCTGCATGTTCTCTCCATGCAGCTGTTGACCTGAGAAGGTCGATTGCACCCAGAGCGATGCACAGAGACTCGAGCCGATTTCCGAGACAGAGAGTGAGAGAGAGGATGAGCGGTGCGATGCAAAGGCATCACCCGTGAAGCAGGAGTCGCCAACTGCAGAAGAGCGGTCGTGGAGCCCTACTGTGGCAGAGTACACTAGGTGCTTGGTGCATGGAAGCATCACCAGGCTTGCTGAGCTGAAAGACCGGTGGAATAAAGAACTGGGGATTTTCACCGAGTTGGAGAAGGACGACCCGGTCCAATCCTGCTTAGAGGAACGTTTTGAGCAAGGCCCAGTGTCGCTCCATACTTTCATCGAAAACGATGCAAAGGGAGTGGCACTGATCCTCTTGGACTTTCAAGCCGGGTCCTCGCATTCGTGCGAGATCGAGTGCATGGTGTACAACTGCATGGAACAGCAGGTGGAGTATCGCTCTTGGGACCCGAAAACCCCAGCTCCAAAGCACAACACAAAGAGGAAGGCGATTAGTGAGGGGTTGTCCCGAAAGAATGCCCGCTACTTCTAATCCGAAGGCAATCCTCCATGGATCGCATCGGAAAACCCAGCAAGCACTCCAGGAGTATACTGCTAAAGGTTCCGGCGCATCCAGAAGTTGTCTCGTGAAAAAGTCGTGGGTGTCTCACTTCGTGTTCAGGGTTCTGTTTGCCAATCTAGCATCTTTAAGGTTAGCATTTACCGGAACCGGCAATGGGGTGGCCGTCGCAAAAAAGTCGCTTCCATTGCATCTGCTTTGTTGTGAAACCCCAGAAAATAAGTTTACTCTACATCGTATCTCAAATGTATCCCATTTTAAGCCCTTAGACCACTCTGTGTAACCTAGCATCCGTAAGGTCAGCATGTAGAAGCGTCGGCAAGCGATGCCGCCTCCAAAAAAAACACCTGCATTGCATCTGCTTAGTTTTCAAAGGTCAGCGAAATCAGGTCATAGAGGCAATGCCAAAACCCCCTAAATCACTTCAACCGGCAAGAAACGATCGACGACGAAGAAAAACCAGCTTTCATGGGTGTGCCGTTCCAAAACAGTTCGTGACAGCTTGGAAACCACTCTTTTCCATAGAACCCTTCGAATTTTTAAGGCGAATGGCTCCAAAACCATGGTGATTTCGTTGATTTTTTCGCAAAATTTTAAACCGACAAAATAGCTATATTTTTCCTGACTGCGCAGTCGTTTTCGTTGAACCCAACCATAGGGTTGACCACCCCCGTGGCGATGTAGCCCCCGCTTAACCGATTCTTGGTTCACTATGAACCGTGGCGGGTCCATGTTGAACGGTCACGACATGATCTCGAAAGGAGAAAGGGTGCTTTCCCAGGGTCCTCGCAAGGACATTCTTGAGTGCTCTGCTGTGGCATTCGGTCTCACTTCCAACCCCACAGTCAGGGAGGGACAAGTTGAGGCCAATCGAAAGCTGGCTACACAGTTTTCTTCATGCGTGGCCAGTCCACAAGGCAAGGAGCTGTTCATGACGTTTGGCTCCAACCACACAACATGCTTCTTGACAAGCTTGATGTTTGGCCGGATTGAACAGAGCTCGGACAGCTGCATGCAACCGCGCCACCCGGTCCAGGAAGCCTTGGTTTCAGGCTGGACTTGGCTTGTTTTGTCGGAGGTGTTGGAGCAGCAGTGGCCAGGCCTGCCGAGGTGTTGGAGCAGCAGTGGCCAGGCCTGCCGCTCCCATACTCCTCGGTTTTGAACAATTCCAACTCCGTCAGTTGCCAGCCCAGAAATGGAAGACGACCATGCAAAACTATATGCGAACGGTCAAACGGTTTGATAGTGCATTAAAGCCGGCCAACAAACGAGTTTGTGGGTGATTCGAAAATGCGGCAAAACATTTTTCCATGTTACAGAAGCCGTCTTCCTTTTGCAAGGTGCAGCCTGAAAAGTCTTGCCTGAAGGGTCATCTATTCCATGTCGTTCGCTGCTTTGAGTGCTTGAACATGCAGTGGCAAAAAATTGAAGTGACTTTGGCAATTGCTTGACATTCTTAGTTGTGCTTACATGTGCCTATGGCAACTTTGCTTGGCAACTTTGTTAGTCCTACTCAGTCTCTGAAAGAGGCTGTGCAGACCGTGCTATTTAGCCGGCAGATGGGCTTGCGCCGCGCATGAGCTCTTCGAGCTCCTCAGGTTCGTCAGAGGTCCATAGCGACATTTTGCCCGAGCCTTTGCCGCTGGTTCTTTCATACTCCAGCTTTGGAAGTGCACGCCACTCCAGCTTCTCATTCTGCATAGGCAAGGCGTGTCCCTGTTTGCAGTGTTCTTCGGGTCCACGTATTTCTGCAACAATGTGCTCTCGCTGCTCTCGGAACTCGGAACGTGAGTGGCTTGCGTTGGCATCTAGCGCCCACGAAGTGCACCTTTGCATCTCCAGTGCCTTGACCCTCCTAGGCCTCGTGCAATCTTCTCCCTGAGTGGAGAAGCGGATGGACGTGCAGGACGCAACGTCTGATTTCGAGGCTCTCAGCGCTCACTTGCACGAGCTCCAGGCTCAGGTTGGCCGTCTTGAGCCTCGTTTGTTGGCTGCAGAGAGAACTTGCTCGAGTTGGCCTGACTGAGAGCCAGCACGTGATCCGCCTGGGTTGCCTCGAATGTTTTGTGCATCGTTGCCGGCGGCTTCTGAGCACCTTGTGTGATCTGCAGCCTGAGGGGGAGCCGTTGTGATCAACATGTCTTCTCCAGATTTCTCTGAACATCTGACTTTGGATCTTTGAGCAGGGGTGAGAACTGTGGGCTCGGATGAGGATTCACGTCCCAGGGAATGGGTCCGAGTAAATGGCTCCGTGTCTTCAGGGAGCCCCAAGACATCCTTGGGAGGTCGCAGACAGAGTCTTAAGGGGTGCATCGCAGGAGCCCCAGGCACTGGGAACTGGAGGGGGTCATATCGGCCCCGATGTTGTGCCCCCGGATGCTGCCAGGAAGATGGATGGTTTGTCTAGGGAGCTTCCAGCTGTGCTTACTTACTCCTGGCAGCGGGCCCCGAAGAGGCAGCGGCTTCAGGTTCCATCGCCACCGCGGGTCGCAGGCGTCGCGCAGTCCCTGAAGACCCAGACGAGGGAGTTCGCAAAGAAGAAGGTTTGGCTGTCGACCTTGATCCGGACGCCCGATGAGGCGAGATGGGAGGCTCTCAGAAAGTTGCGTCCTCTGGTGTCTGGCGCGCCCTCTGTAAAGAACGAGGACAACCTGAGGAAATCGTTTTCTCATACTTTTGCGGCAAAGGCTACAGGAACGCTTGTGAAGAGGGCTTCGGCCCTTTGGAGTCCGAGTCGAACTCCATCCCCAGTCCGCTGAGAGCTTCTGAGTCCATCATACACAGGTACAAGCTTCACCTTGAACACACAGCTAGGCCGACGCTGGGCTCCAGCTTCCTCCAACTTGGAACTTTATTCATGCTATGGTGGGGCTTACTGACCCGTCAGCCTATTTGAACCCGTCGGCCAGACTCAAGGGGCGTGTCGTCGGGAATGCTTCAGCTAAAAGCTCCTCTGAGGCAAGCCCACCCGCTCACAGAGAAGATGGTCAAGGCTCTTGAGCAAGTGGTGTTGCTTGCCCCGTATGAGCACTGGAAGGTTATGGCAGGGCACCTTCTTTTGGTGCTAGGTTCGAGCGCCCGCTTCGGAAACACCGTGAGGCTTAGGTCTCTGGAAGACGATGTTGTCGGCCAAAAAGGATGAGTTCTTACCGTTGTGTTCGTTTGGCCAGTTCTTCTACCAGGTGGAGTGGGCTGGAGCTTGGTTAGAAGCTCGAGCGAAATTTGGATTGGGATTGGACCCGGCGATTCCGGCCTGGTCAGAGTCTGAAGGGTTTTTCCCTGACAGGCCTATGAGCACAGGGGAGGCTGGCCTTTATCTCAAAGAGTTCTTGCTGCGGTCTGGGATCTCAGATTTGGATCGGATCAGCTGTCCGTCCCTCAAGTGCACGATTCTCAGCTGGGCAGCCAAAAATGACGCGATGAGTCTGGATGACCACCGGCTACTTGGACACCATTTGGATCCTTCAGCATCCGAATCCTGCCCATTGACTTACAGCCGTGATGAGCTTACTAGGCTCACGCGCAGAGTGTTCCAAGTGCTTGTTCTTGACTGTGAACATGTCTTGAGCATGTGGCATGTGAAGTGCCTACGATTGCAGCCATGGAGGCTGGAACTCCAGAAGGGTCACATGTTTCGAGAGTCAGATAGCGAAGCTAGTGATTCACATATTCTGAGTTTGAAGTGTGCAGCTCAGGTGATTTCGCTTACAGGCTTTGCTGTTGTGTGTGCGTAAAACAGGGCTGTAAGTCCGCCGTTGCTCTGGCCTGCTCGGTCCGGGCAGGTTATGAGCCGAAGAGCGGCTCCCTGCGCAGTGTTACTTCGCCATGGACTCAGCTGGATCTGGAATGGAGCCCAGCTACGGGGATCGTGAGAGGCAGTCTGGAAATGATCAGGGTGGACGCACCGTGGGCTTTTCAGCTGCTAATGATCCTCTTATCGGTGATCGCTGGACCAATGACGAAATGTCAGATGGCCATGGCGGTCAAGACAGGGGTGATAGGACCCCGGAGCGAGAATCTTGAGCCGGACTACGACTTCGAGTCTGCGGGCGGCAATGGCTCTCCTCTACAGGAGGGCCAAAGTCGGCCCTTGGAGCATGTCAGAGCTACGGATTTTCCTACGGAGTTTGAATATACTGGTGACACAAGTGGCCAGGGTGTTATGGAGACTGGTGGGCAGCATACTGGTGGTCAAGACAGTGGTCGGATGACTCCGGGCTGTACTGGGAGAGATGCTGTGGATCCGGGCTGGACCGAGAGCGAACGTTTGCCTACAGGCCATGTTGCTACAGCTGGAAGTGGTGTGGATCCGGGCTGGACCGGGAAGGAATGCTTGCTTAGTCAGTCTGCAGTTGGACGTGACGACGCACCGGGCTGGACCGGGAACGAACGCTGGCTCAGTCAGTGTACAGTTGGACGTGGCGACGCACCGGAGTGGACGTGGATCTCATGGTCAGTTGACTTTCGAGCAGACGCGTGAACCGGGCTGGACCGGATTCAGAGCTTCTGGACGTGTATGTTTTGCTGATGCTGGACACGCGTTTCGGGCTGGACCGAATGGATATCAGAGAGAAGCGGGTGAGCAGCTGTATGATGACAGGTCTGGCATCTGGAATGGTCTGGGAGATCAGCTGGGCCAATAGTGCTTGGCCATCAGAGTGATGGCCGAGGAACATCGTCTGGACATGTTGCTAGGGTCGAAGCTCTTGAGGTGCTCGTTGCCCAGCTGCTTCAACGTGGGGCAGTGAGTTCAACGGACGAGCGTACTCATGAAAGTGTAGGACCTGTACAGCAGCAGGGGCATGTACAATTCTGGAGAACCTAGCGAGTCTGAACCTAGACTAGGTAAGGGTGTTGGAGCTCAAGGTACTAGGGTCCCTATGCAGGTCTTTCAACCGCCGTGGACTAGCTTTCAGCTGGCACCAGACGCAGTCGCTCCAGTACCGTGGGTCCAGGAGATGCGCTTCTTGAGGCGACCAGGGCCATGCAGAATGCTACGTTGCAGGCGTGTCCTTCACTTCAGCCTTTTGGGAGTGTAGGTGGTGAGCCAGCGGCTTCAGCCTTTTGGGAGTGTCGGTGGTGAGCCAGCGGCTCCAGCTACTTCAGTCCGTTTGTCGGGTAGCCTATCGGCTTGTGTTACCGAGGCTCCTGGTTTGGAACCGCCAACAGCACAGGGACCTCGGGGTTGTGGGTTGAAATTATAAAAGACTGGTGAGGTGACGGTTGTGGTATAATGGCGTGCCTATGCTAGGAAGGTTCAACGAGCAAGGTGAAGTCGTCTTAATCCCGGAAGCTCCTAAGTACTTTGCCATGAATGATGGGTGTGATGATGCGCAAAGGGCATCCTCGGTGAATGCAAGGGATGAAAATGCACAATCTAGACGTGGCCTTCCAACCCGTTTGTAGCCAATGCACTCTCACCTTTTCGTGTATCTGCTCAAGCACCAGCACCTGAAGCCACTAGAACAGTTCCTCCACCACCTCCTCCAGGCAACGGTAGTGCAACTGCCAGGGCTCCCAAGTAGGTCCCCTAATGGAACGAGATACGGAAACCCTCTAATCCAAGCGAGGCTAGTGAATGTGTCATTAGCCACGCCAGGTGGCACAAGTGGTCCTCCACCGAGGACTCCACCCGCGGCAGTCGGCACAGGGCCATCCGCGGCAGTCGGCAGCGGCAGCAATCAGGGATGTGCACAGGGTCCGATTGGATGCTCATTTCGGGGGCCTGCCGGCGTCAAGCTTATAATGCTCTCCATTCGCAATACTTTTTACATGCACGACCTGGTTTTTGCATGATTGGAATTTCATGATATTGTGGAGTGCAAGCGAAATCATCTTGATTGGCGCGCTCGCACCTCAAGGACAGCGGGCGGGGTAAAAGGTAGCATGTGCAACTGGTACAACATGCTAACATGTTCGATGCAGGACTGAACGAGAGATTTCTCACATGGTCAACTTTTCGCCCGTAGCGTAGTGGGGGGGGAGCCGACCGGCTCCTGGTCTGCGTGTGATACTCAGCGGCCTCTTCACTTTGCTACGATGGAACATGTGCTCTCGAACATGCTCGCAGCTCCAGAGGATAATCCCAGGCTCGTTCTCCAACCTCCTCGGGATTCTGCCGGTGCCTTTGTCAGTGGGTTGCTATCGGACGATCCTGTTGAGGATTTCGTCTCTGAACGCGAGAGTCAGGAGGACCACCAACCAGGTGAGGCGGATGGTTTGGAGCCTTCCTCTTTGGCTGCAGCTGCCCCGAGCTCTCCCATTGACACTGTTGTGCACTTGAAAGACTTGTTCGAGCTGCAGATGGCTTTCTCTTCCCGCATGCATACGCTGTCGGAGGAGCTGGCATCCCTTACTTTTCAGGTGTCCCAGCTGTCTGATGAAAACTGCCAGCCTCGATGCGAAGTCTTGCAACTTCGCCGTGATCTCAGCAAAACGCAGGATGATGTTGCCGATATCACCAGCGATGTCTCCCGCCTAGCTTTGCAGTGATGTCTCCCGCCTGGCTTTGCTGTGACAAGTCAGCTGTCGCATCTGCAGTTTTGGCAAACTTTCGATGTCTGCTGGAATGCCCAGCTCACTTCGTGCGTCTTGGAAGTCCAAAATGCCCGCTCAGGATTTCTGGCAGCCCGTAGAGTGCTCTCGCACGCAGTTGTTGAGTGCTTGTGCCCTGCCATTTTCGCGTGTGTCATGCCACGTGCTGTGACTGCAGTTTTCGGCGACACTGTTTTATAGTTTAGTTTCGCATGGATTCTGAATTCTTCCGAGCTTTGGCAGTGCTTGCTCGCATTCAGCACGTGCTGGCTTGGTGCCGGGGCTGGATTCATGCGCTTCGGGGCCGACTCGACGTTGCTTTTATTTGAATTGCACGTCTTTCTTCCACCCAGGAACAACTTCGGACCGAGCAGTTTAATGTCGGCTATAATCTCAATGTCCGAGTGCAGGCTGTTGACGATCATTTGCAGGACCACATTGAGCGTACTGATGCGAATCTCATGCACGTTGTGCGCTTGCAGCTGTGTCTTTCCTGCAGTTGCCCCGCCTTCTTTGGGAGCATGGAAGCTTTGGAAGCTTCCCAGTGCGCTTTTCTACATGATCTGCAGGAAGTCCTGTATCAGGGGCGTCGCAGTGCGAGGATTCGAGCTGGAGGACCCGATCCTGTCCGGTCTCGCTCCAGGTCCCCGCCTCGAGGCTCCATTCCGCCTGAACCGACTTTGAGTATGCGAGTGCGAGTGCGGGTGCTCGAGTGTGACCTGGCATCGGCCTTGCATCGCCTCGAATGCTTCGGCTTCGGTGCAACTGCGCTCTTGCACACTTTGCACCAAGAGCCTGACCACTCTGAACTCACTGATGGGGTTGCGCAGGTGCGCCAGGAACTTTCGTCTTTACAGGCTCAGGCTCATGAACTTCGAGCTCGAGCGGATGCCTCGGAATCGCGGCTTTCTGCTTTGGAAGATCAGATGGCTTCCCTTCGCTCTGATCGCGATTAGCATCTTAGCCGTGCTGTGCGAAACAGGTGTGTGTGGCCCTTCAGCCCTTTTGCCAGTGATTCTGCCAGCATCCTGCTCTAGCCCTCTCGGTGCGTTCCGGACTTCAGCCCGGCTCTTTGCCTCTTCCTAGCCGGGTGGGGGGACGAGTCTCTGGTCGGTCGTTCGGCCGTGGGCTCTGAGCCTGGCAATCTGGAGCCAGGTGGAGCGTGCTCTTCTTTCCCATTCAGGTGAAGAGTGGGGGACAGCGTTGCAGTTAATCATCGGCAGTGAACCTGGCGCTCTGGAACCAGGCCCTGCATCGCCGGCAATTTTTATTCAGGTCGGAGGAAAGCACGGAAGGCGAGCGCAGTCAAGGAACCCGCTTTCCTTGCTCGGGCGCAGGCTCCTTCGCTGAGGGCTGCGCTCTCAGGCCCATTGCACGGGCGCCTTTGGTTCTGGTCAAAGGAGTGTTCTCTGCATCTGATCAGGCAGGCAACTCCATCTGAAGCCAGACAGGCGCTCAACGTGTGAGTCACTCCAGAAATCGGCAAGTCGACTCTGTGTTGTCGGTGGTTCCGGAGTACACCCCGGCTTCGGCATTCGGGTGCCGGGTGGGGGCCATACCCCGCAGCATAGTGGAGCCTAGCACTGGATTGATTCTCAGGGATTCGCGACTTTGGTTCGCCATCTCCTTGGACCTCTGGTTCGAGGCCGCCGTTTCCCCCTTTTAGGATTGGCTTCGCCTTTGAAGACGACACACAGGCAGGAGAGGACGTGCTATGCTCGGTGGGGCCGTGCTGTGCTCAGGGCGAATGCGTGTGCATGTCGTGTTTCGGGAGCTCTTTGCCTTAGGTGTGAAATTTTTGCCTTCACCCCCAAACGCAGGAGGGCCCTTCTGATTTTGCTTTTGCCCCCAAACTGGGGGGGACCGACTTGAACCTCAACTCTCCAGTCTTGATGCGGGGCTTTCGCAGACGGTGGGCCCATAGTACACTTGACGACGACGAGGGCGACCTCGGTGCTGAAAGCCCCCTTACTATCATCGCGCCAGATCGACCTGAAGCTATAGAGGTAGAGTCGGTACCAGATGAGACCCCTCGCCGGGGTCATGGATCGAAGTAGCGATTGAAGCTGGAGCGGCGGATGCTGCAGTGGACGACCATCTCCGGGGCAGACCTCAACGCATGATCGAGCGAGGAAGCGTCGGAGGCCCGAAGCAGCTGCATCATCAGACACACCATTGGCAGCGCGATCAGCGGTAGAGCAGACAGTGCCTGTTAAGGTTGTCATGCCTTGGGAGACGGGGCTCTGGCTCAGCGTCTTCGGGGGGGCCTTCAACCCTACAAGCCTGTTGCGAGTACACTGAAACCTGTGCCGGTTCCTCCGAAGATCGTGGAATTGTGTGAGACACCTAGACCAATCACGTTGAACCAGGCCCGGCTTCGGGCTGTGAATGTTGGGCCTCCTGAGGATGGGAGAGCTCAAGCCACCCGGAGATTCAATACGAAGCGGCCCCGCGCTCTTTGGCGCTATGCTGCTTTTCTGGCAGACAGGCAGACTCCATCGCGTTTCGGTGCGAGGGATGGCGATTAGCGACCATCCGGCTCGAAGCGATGCCGAAGCTGGAAGGCAAAACTTGCATCATACTTCTCTGAGCCTTCGGGTTTCCCAGAAGCATCAGTGGTCTAGTGGTAGAATACATCGTTGCCATCGATGTGACCCGGGTTCGATTCCCGGCTGATGCATTTTACTTGGAGATCAACCGCTTTGCTGTGTCACCGCAGCCGAGATGTTCGAAATCAGCTGGTCCATCAACAAGCAAAGATCGTGCGTTGAAATCACTACTGACCCTTGGCTTTGAGGAGGGTTTCATTCGAGAAGATTCCAGCTAAGACTTTCAGGCCGAGGTATCTGCAACCAATGTCGAAACTGGTTTCGCAAGATTCCAGCTCAGAGCAAAGATTGTCAGAAAGAAAACTTGATTTCTGTCGCAACGTTCCACCTTAGAGCAAAGATTTCCAGAACGAAAACGTCGCAGGAGGAGCAAAACCAGTACTTGCAGTGGCTCAGGGGTGATCAGTGTACAAGCACGGCATCTTCGTTACTTGAGGCCCTCAGGTTCTCGCACGGCATGTTCGGCTTGCTGAAGGTGACGCTGGCTGAGCTTGACTCGCCGCAGGGTTGATAGGCCCTGCTGAGGACACGTGCCCTTTCCTTGGTTTTGTATTTCCGTTCCTTCAGGTCACCTTTGGCATCCTCACCATTCTGCTCGGCATCGGGGAAATCATTGGGGCCCGCCTGCACGATCTCGGCATCAGCTGGCACCTCTGGCACCTCCGGATCTTCCTTCTTGCCGTGCTTGCCCGTCTGAACCTTTGCGGCCTTTGCTTTGGCACCGAAGTCCCCCCGTGCTCCCCGCTTCGCTTGGCAGTCTTGGGGTCCTCCGGCTTCGTGCTCGTCTGAGAGCTTGTGGCTTTCGCCTTGCCCTTTGCCTTTGCCTTGGGTTTTTTTGGCGCCCTCGGCTTCAGCTTGATCTCGACAGGGGCCTGCTGCTGGGCGGCTTCCAGCATCAACTTGTCCTCCTTATCCACGATAGCCATCTTGTTCAACGTCTCCGTGAGTTGAAGCTCATAGCTTTCACAGGGGACGAAACCGGAGCTCTTCCGACCCTGGCTCATGTGAGCTCGAAGATGATATGGAATCCGTTTGCTGCAAGACCCTGGTAAAGTTTTTGCCGGATTCCAGAAAATCCGGGATGGCCGTCGAAGGGCTGCGCTTGATGCTCGAGCTGCCCACTGTGCGAGCAGGAGTAGTGCTCAAAACCAAAGCCGTTGAGGTTGGAGCTGAGGACGATGAGGGTGTCTCTGGCTCCTCCTCACCCATCTCGCCAGGAGCGAGCACCACCAGCTGCAAGAGTTCGCTGAGGATCTCTTGTTGTGCCGAATCCGCCTTTTGAAACATCTCTGCTTAAGGGCATCTTGAGATTGCGGAGATGGTTTAATCCGATTCTGATTTGCTCGTCCATGTTGTCGATGAAGTCGGCATCGGATTGCCGGGTCATGTTCATTTTCTTGCCCTCGAGCAGTCGAGTCACTGCTGTGCGATACCTTTTACCGAATATGGCCGCATTGGGAGCCAACCGAAGCAGAGACTTCCAAAGCGAGGCCGACTTGCGCAAAAAGACCGGGCAAGCAGCACTCTTCCACAAGTAGCCGGTGGGACCTTCGGGCAGCTTTGCAAGGTTGTCGTCCCCCTTCTCTTTCAAGAACTCGTCCAAGCACTTCTTAAGATCGCCGTCCGCCACCGAACGAAATCGAACTGCATTCTTCAGCCGCATGGCAAAGCACGACGAAAAGCTATAGCTATAGATCCATGTTCAGTCCATACATAAACATGCTCACCCACAGACATGACATGTACTGCCCCACAGAGTAAGCTGACCATATACCCATTATGATACATAAGTTCTGATCACCACTCATGCACAGACAGACGCTCGTGAGTTTCAACTTACAAAACACTTGAGAAATGATCGGCCGGAGCAATGCACACAACACTCACTCACTCACTCACACACACACACACACACTTACTTCCCCCCTCTCTCAAGGTACGGTAAGACTCTCGTTCTCTCAAGGAAGACCCTCTCGTGGTCTTTGCACAGAAAACACATCTTCTTTCTTTCTCAAGGTAGAACCCACGTCTTTTTTCTCTCTAGAACCCTTTCGCTTCTCCCTCAAGGTAGCTCTTCTGGGGTGTATAGGTTCTATGAGTTTGGGCTTGAAGGCCTGAAGGGTTGAAGGGTTTACAAAAATCCTTTATTAGGTTATATATGGCCTGTAAGGGTTCATTCTTTGGGAGGTCCGGGCTTTTGCTATCTAAGGGTTTCACAGGTTTATCTAGAGGTTTAGTAGGTTGTGTTGTTGTGCTTTGTGTGTATGTGCGGTTATGTTCGGTGTGGTTGCTTTGAGCGTGTGTGTGTGTGTGTGTCTGTGTGTGTGTGTGTGTGTGTGTCTGTGTGTGTGTGTGTGTCTCTGTGTGTGTGTGTGTGTCTGTCTGTGTGTGTGTGTGTCTGTGTGTGTGTGTCTCTGTGTGTGTCTGTGTGTGTCTGTGTGTGTCTGTGTGTGTGTCTCTGTGTGTGTGTGTGTGTGTCTGTGTGTGTGTGTGTGTGTGTGTGTGTCTGTGTGTGTGTGTGTGTGTCTGTGTCTGTGTGTGTGTGTGTGTGTGTGTGTCTGTGTGTGTGTGTCTGTCTGTGTGTGTGTGTGTGTGTGTGTCTGTGTCTGTGTGTGTGTCTGTGTGTGTGTGTGTGTGTGATTTCTGTTTCTTTTTTGTTGTGTGCTTGTGTGTCTGTTGGATTGTCGGTGTGATATATATATATATATATATGTATATTTGTGTATGTTTGTCGTGTGCTTGTGTGTTGCGGAAGATGCGTGCAGGTGGGTTCGTATGTGTCGGTCTGCTATGTACACGAGGACGGCGACGGTGATGAAAATGATTGTGATGTGCAACAGGGCCGGCAGGATCCTGGCAGCCAGCCAAGGCAACCGAGCACCCTGGAGCAAACTTGCAGGATCCCAGAGGACTGCAACGCTATCCAGAGGCCCTGTGCCTGGCTGCTGATCCAGGACTGCACGGCATCCTTGCCAAAAAAAAAAAGCAGACCGTTCCACGATGATAATATGCTCCCGGACCAATGCCTGAGCGGCTTGAGCTTTGGCGGCCGTCAGGCCGGCCAGGTGGCGGCATGAAAATCCTGGCCACAGATGCTTGGCTTGAAAAAAGCTACCGCTTTTTTGTAAGATGTCCTCGAGGAGTTTCCCAGGTTGCCGGGGGCCCACCGGAGCCCACACTGGCTCGGGCCGCAAAAGCTCTGGCTATCAGCTATTGAAACCCCTGCACACAGTCACTCTCAACATGCGACACATGCCTAATGCACAAAGTTCCCCAAAAGAAAATCCTTTTTGCAATGAGCCATACGGTCCAAGAGCAGGAACCAAAAGCATCCGCAGCAAAAAGCTATATTGACTCTCCCCCTCATCCGAACCGTCGCCGGCACTGCTCACATGGAGTTAAGCGATTCCTGGGACCTTGCACATGTCTGCACTCTGGATGGTGGAAGCACTTTCCACGTCCAGACGTGGTGCAGAACACTTCATGCGGCAGTTGTGCCCTTTCCCGAGCACGCACAAGCTCCCTTTGCAGCCGTTCGACCTCCAGATGCAATCGTCGACTCTCAGCCGCCCAATCTCGATGTCGCAGCTGCTCGACCCCATCTGCCCCAGTTCGCACGCTCACCCACTCGGAATCATCCTCATTTTCGCTGCAAGGCTGAGTGTGCTGCTGGCCGTTGGCCAGCAGCCGTCTCAACTTTGAGTTCTCTTTCCAGGCGAAACATAGCAAAACACTCAAAGCGAAAACTGCTGCAACACCGCAGCATCCATCAACTGAAATCGCTAACATGCTGACGGCTGCGAAATACAAACAAAAAGGGTCTGGCATCCCTTTCGCTTTGACTGTCCTATCGCAAGCAACAACCCTGTCACTACGCAACGGTTTTTTTAAATGTTCCGCAGGTGTCGCTCATCTCGTCTTGTGTTGACCGCACACTCACATGCTTCTGACTTGTGTTAACATATGTGTCTGCATGTGTGTTCCATATTTCACAAAGTTCGCAGAAACAACATGTGGTGTTGCAGCCGAAAGCTCTAACTAAGCTCTTGCATGACTTGCGGTCCCCAAAAAGGACAATTCCGCCTCCCGACGTGAAAACAAGCCATTCGGTTAACCGCACAGGAGGCACAATTCAGTTGAGCCCAAAAGCACTCAGTCGAGATCTTCTTCTTCTAACCGTCGCTTGCTTCCCCGGCTTGGTTGGCTGCTGGGTGCTTCCTCAGATGACGTGGATGCTGTCAGGGGCCTGCTAATGTACTGCCGCCACCACTGCCACCACCATATCCTGGGCACAGGCATCACGGAGGAGGTATTTATTTCTACACGCAGGGTTCAGGGTTTACGGTGTGCTTGCAAGAGGCCACTCTCCGGAGTGCGGGCTTTTTGTTTTCATCCAGCACCATCTCCATTCCGCTGCTGGCCGTGGCGACCGGCTTCTTTCTCTGGGCATGTCCGTTGTCTAAGACAACGCAAACAAGGAGATGGATACTGGACCAAAACTGGCTGCCAAAGACCAGCACAAACGCATCGGCATCACTCTCGCTTTCCTTGTCCTAACCCGTGTTCAACAAGTGCCACAACTCTGGTCACCACGCAGTCCTGTTTTAGATGCTCTGCAAGTGCAGCATGCAATCAATCTGGGCCTGTGTCGGCCGCAACCTGAGATGTTCCTCTACAGAGGCTGCTTCCATACTCGCCCAAGCCAGCAGCTTCGCCACCGTCTCTGAGCGGCCCAAATGCTCCACAAACAAGTACAACCTGCATCTCTTGTCACGGTGATACGGGCACTGGCAGAAGGCCCGCAACTTGCCCGACTCATGGCTGAAGTTGTGAAAGTAAATTTTACAGTCAAGGCCCGGAACTCTGGATTGCACAGGGGCCTGGCGAAGGTCGGGATGCAAAGCCGAAGGCTCGTTGGCCTCAATGGCCTCCGACATTACAAAGGCTTTAAGGTCCTCTAAAACAGGCCTCTGCTCACCTTCATCACCACTCACATCAGATTCGTCCCGCAGCCTCTGAGCAAGACCCCGGACTCGCCATCCGGCTGCTTTGTCCTTGCTGAAAAAGGCTGTGATGTCGCTCTGCGACATGTGAGCGATGCTACCCAAATCCGCAGCAGCCAGCAAATACTCATAGTACGCCTGCTTCTGCTCGTGAAACATTCGTGGCAACTTCCCCGGCTTCTGAAAAATCCATGGTGCTAGGAACAAAGCCTTCAGATGCGACTCGGTAAGAGTCAACACATTCTTCGGCAAACACCCGGGAACATCATCAGATGAAATCTGCTCAGGGGTGTCCTGCCCAGGATTGAGCCAGCGCCATCCACTTCGCACAAGAGCCCTCACAAACTCAAGTTTGTTGGTACCCTTCTTTCGGGACCTGTTGAGGAGCTCCACTCTTGCATGGCTCAAAGGCAGGGGGTCGCCCCAGAAGGTTTTGGGCTGCAGCAAAAACGGAGCCACCAAGGCGACCTGGGCATCCCCGAAGTCGTCAAAGCGGACCGCAATCAAGCCCCTTTCGCAGAGGCGCAGCACGTGGCTCATCGCCACGTTGTGCTCTGCTGACAGCCTAGACAAAGAGATCTCGGTCGACCCCAGAGCACCGGCATTCACGAGGGCATCCGCCACCTGCCGCTCCTCTTGGGAGAGATAAGCGGCGGCACTGCCCACTGACAACCCCTTGCCTGCCTGCCTCTCTGACAAAATGTCTGCCTGTGCTACCAAGGAGTTCTCTACTACTTGCTGCACGAAAACATCCAGCTTCATGTCATCATCCACCAATTCATCGCCTGCATTGATGTCTGGTAGGGCAGGGAAGAGGTCTTCCTCAGGCCCGGCAGGCCCGCTCTGAATCTCTAACCGCATGCCCGCAGACTCAGCAGACCAGACACAAACCTGCTGAAACATCGACAACACGAGGTCACGTGTGCAGGCTCGCGACAGATTCAGCATAGTCACAGACGACCCAGACCCACACACCTCAACACGATTGCAAACACCGTCTACATTCGTGATCGGGCGAACGTCCGAGAAGATCTGCACCAGCATCCCGTTTCTGCCTTTGTCCTCAGCGAGACCCTGCTTCACAGACGCACGATTTTCGGGTCGGGCATCGATGACCTGACAGTAAACCGTTCCTCCGGGGACCAAGTCCGGGAGTCCGAATTCTTCGTCACCAAGAGCCTCAGACAGGAGGTCATCATCTACGTCATCTTCAGCATCATCACCTTCCTTGTCCTCCTCCTCCGGCTCATCATCTGCTGAAAGTAGTTCGAAGATACTTCGGGGGAAGGAACATAGGGTGCCGTTGCTGAGCTGCTGCTTCAGAAAACTCACCCGCTGCCTGTGGCCGGGCTTCAGGACTGGCCCACTCGCCGCTTGGTTGGTGATGGCTGCTGCAGCAGCAGCCTTGAAGGCTTCAGCGGCCACCTCCATGTCGTCGACGTCGTGGAAATGATCAGCCAAGCTGTAGCAGTAAACACGCGACAACCGCTTAGCTTCGCTCATTCCCGCTATTTCGGTCGGACTCAAAACGTGGCACAACAGGTCCTGAAACGATGATCTCCTCGCCCATTGCTGCATCACATGCAACCTTCGGTCACCGTCGCTGGTCACCATTTGCAGGACCTGATTCCGACGAAGCCGTGCACAGGTTACGGCAGGCTTCGCCTTAGTGAAGCCTCGGCGAAAAGCCCACTTGATGCCTCGATGTTGCGACTCTAAGAACCGCTCTGCCATGGGGCACCACGCTCGCTCCTGGATTTCCACGAAGCCCGTGGAAATTGTCGCAGCGACCTCAGTGTGCGACCACCAGTGATGTCCTGCTGGGCAAACTGCCATAGTTGACGGCTTTCGTCACTTTGTTTCCCGCATAGGAAAACACTGATAGGATCTATGCTGGCGCCGGCCTCGGCAGCTGCAGCATATTCCTGGAAACACGACTTTGCGAACCCTATGACCTCAGGCAGAGACTTATCTACGTACAAACGAAAGATACCTGCTACTTTGAAAGGCAGCTTCTGGCACCAAGCGAACTTGTCTCGCAGGACCGCTTCCAAGTTCTGTCGCACTAGACCATCTGTCCGCAGAATCTCATTTGCCAGATCTTGGTCAAACTTCAGCAACTCATTGTTCAAATCACTAACACTCCTCACGAATGATGTCCAAAAACTTCTGAGGGCCATCCCAGGCGAACACACACAGACGCTTTCCTTTCCACGCACGCAAGGACCCCGTTGCTGACGGACCCGTTTGAGGGTCCAACAGCCTCTTTGCCGTTCTCGAACGGGATTGCCTGACGGATATGTCCCGCTCATGGCAAAAACATCCTTCCAGCCACCTTGAACATTGGCCCACAGCTCCGGAGAGAACGCTTGTCCACAAGGTCATTGCCCGGTTCTTCGTGCTGCCCAAAGCAGCACGAATCACCTGGGCAAGTTTCCTTTCGGACGCTCCCAGAGACCCGCCATGCCACTTCTCTTTTAGGATTGGGGCTACTTGCTTCCAGTACTTTGCACAATACTCGATGCTTTCCCATCTCCAATCGAGCACTGCAACATCCAGCCCACGTATGAGCTCTTGGTCTGCTGCTGACAGGCCAGGTGTGAATTGAAGCACAAGATCTACATAAGACTTCTGCGAAAAAACCCTGCCCGCAGCCCTCAGCTCCGTCTCGGGGGAAGTTTTGAGAGCTGATTCAAGGGCATTGAAAAGAATGTGCATTACTCCGGGAATGCCGTAAGCATTGTGCAAAAAAGCAGTGTTGCCCACCTCATCCAGCTGCACGTCTCCGGACAGCAGGCCGCGAGCAAGGCTGTTCAGGGTTGCATTTTTCTCATACGGAAAACCGAACAGATGCTTCTCCGTTCCCTGATCGCTCAAGTAGCCTTTGACTTCACTCCGATACATGTCTATGTTTTCTGCACCCTGTTCCTGGTGCAGAACATGAAGCAGACGACAGAATTTCATTGATGCCGAGCCGTGCCCACGTGCCAAGGCCGTGAGGGGCAACGTTCGCCTGTGCCAGGTGAAACCTCCAAAAGCATCGAACTGTTCCTCAGGCACCGACAGGAAGTCCAAGGCGGGACTCCTTTCCAAAACGTCCTCAGTAACTGCGAAGTAATCGTAGCCACCTTGGGGCGACGAGTCGCTGCCCAGGTAGCGGGCACGCCGCCACCGTGGATCCCCGGCTTTGTTGAAGATCCGATTACTCCATGTGTGAATCAAATCCAATTTGATCATGTCCCTTGCAAAAGTCTTTTTGCTTTTCGGAACTGGCACGTTCGCCGGCTCCAAGCCCATGGAGGGCAACAGCATGGTGCCCACCATCTGCATGATGTCGGGGATGTCTTGCAAGTTTTGAACATGATGTGCTACACATGCATAGAACAAATGCAAGTCCACGGGAACATCCTCTCGCTGGGAAACTCCTGTGTTGCTGTTGCCTGCAGCAACAGCAACACTCTCAGGCTCAGGAGCTGCCCTCACAGAATCCACCACGATGCCGAGCGCCGACGTCAAGCATTTAGGACTGATCAAACTTCGGGCATGCCTCCCGCGAAACTCCAAAGCTTCCTGACCTACTGCTGCTGGAACAATGAGAACTCTATGTGCCTTTGCTTTGTGTCTTGTCGCAAACTCCCGGTACCGGATCTGCTCTCCTGCGGCTGCAAGATGATCGTAACACCATCCTGAAACCGCATCAATCAAAGATGGCGATGTCAAGGTAGTCACCTTCTGCATCTGTCCACCAGTTAAGCTGGCTTTGCCTAGAAGTTTCTCTTCCGTAGCAAAAAAACTTCTGCTCACGGACCACTTACAGAAGTTTTTTGTTTCAACGTCTTTGCTTTGTGCAGTATCCTTCCTTCTCATGAAAGAAGTTACGAACTGTTGCCACTCGGCCAACATCCGTGCGAAATCTTTCTGCAACACGTTGGCTTCGAGCTCTTCAACAGTCTCCAAAACAAAACCGCCCAAAAATCTCACCTGATCAGGGCGACGCGATTCACGAAATGCTCCTTTCTCGAACGAAACAAGCAGGATGTGGTCCCCACGGCGGACCTTTTCCCGCAGGGGGTGATGGTTCGGAGGCTGCTTCCTCTGAGAGGACGCACTTTCCTCGAAATTCAAAACTTCCGGCTCCATGCTGTGTGACGAAACTCACAAAGGGACTTGATTCGGGCCCGATGCCTTCGGAGGGCAGTTTGGTACCTAAATCTGCGATTCCGGCTCACACGTCACTTCTGTTTGTTTTGCGAACCCTAAAAACGTTGTCATTGTTTGAGCGACAAATGACGATCCTAGTCTGGCGGGCTCCGAAACCATGGCTATTCGCGACGAAAATCAACGACACGAGTGCGGACGCAAGCAAAACAGCAAATTTTGGAACCCTCAACCAAAACACATCGATGCTATGAAAATCATACCAAATAATCGAACCTCAGCTGAACCCCAGTTCGGGTTGCCACCCCCGTGGCGATGTAGCCCCCGCTTAGAATCGGTACGGTATATGCTTCTGGTAGGATGCTAGCCCGTTGCTCGTCCACAAAGGATTGATTGAGCTTCTCGCAACATCTTCTGAGGCCCTGGCGTCTGCCTGCTGTGAGCTCGGAAGGCTCCGAGCTGGCCATACCCTAGCGGTGCGCAAAACGAGGTGCGGAAGGCAACAACTGGAAGGCCAATCGCTTGGTTCTGGTCCTCTGGCTTTGGGTCTGGTCCTGTGGTTCTTGTTGCTACGTCGCTATCATCATAGCTCATAACCGAGCAACGGTCCAAGATGGATCAAGGAGAACAAGTCATGATTGATAGCTCAGAACCGAACGACGTCATCCTGACGGACTGTCTGTGTAGAATCTGGCTCAAAACGTCGCCGAGGAAAAAACCTTAAACTCGTTCCCCTCTGTACAGTTTGGCTCAAAAAAGTAAAATGACATGATGCTCTTGTTTATTGATGATGCTCTGTGTTGCTCGCTTGGGTGCGGAGTAGAAAAAGCCTTAAACCTTAAATCTTGCCCACCCTACCGAGAGTCTCCCAGTTGGTGTTTGCTGCTTCTGAACATCATTCAGTTTTCTGTCGTTTGAAAGTTTTTCCTGCTGCTGGTGCAGCTTTTAGATCAAGCCGAACGAATCGGCTGCGATGGGAAAACGTACTAGTTCATGTGGAACCGACTCCAGCAATGACGGAAAGCCTCGTGAGTTCAGCAGCAAAGATGCCGTGAAGATGGTCGCTGCTGGCAAAATTTCAATTCGAAGATTAACCAGTGCCATTCCGGTACTGGAAAGATGCGTCTCCAGGTCGCAGGAAGATAGGTTCAGAAGCATTTAAGTGTGTGCTGTCGTGGTTTCAAGTTTGCAAATAAAGCATGGCCGTCAGCACGAAAGCTCGCCCGTCGTCTCCGCAGAGTTGTACGCTTTTTGCAAGAGCAGGGCCTGGTGAAGAAAGATGCTGACGTGAAAGCCCAGTAGTTTTCAAGCGAAACCACAGCCCAAAGGGAACGGGCTTAGCCAGCGAGACAACTGATGGAATATGATGCTTTTTCAAGTGAAAAGTCCCCCAGAGATTCATTAGTTTGCATTCCTGCAGATGCATTAGAAACTGATCCTGTCCGAGTGCTTGCCTGGCTGACCGAGCAGTTCTTGTGACTGTGACGAGGGTTCTTGGCTCTCGAAGACATGCCGTGTTGATGCTTTCTGATTTCTTCAGTTATCGGCTAGGGGAACTCGGGTATATTCGGTGTAGGCCTAGGCTTTAGGTTTTAGGCTGTTACAGTTTTGAGCTTTCGGGCCAGGCGTCTTAATGGGCGACTCTATTTGACTGTGAAGTTTGAGGTCGGGTTTCAGGGTTTTCCGTTCGAATATATATATATATATATATATATATATATATATGGATCTGGGTGCTACCGTGCGCAAAGCGTGCAGCAATGCGGCTTCCGAGCCCCCTAGTGCTGGAGTACGGTTGCAAGCGAAGCTGCGAACTGGGGTTGCTGGGTTTTCCTGGGAGAACTTGCAGCGAGCACGTGTTCGGAACCTGGCTTGATTGTGAATTCTGCGTTTCAATTTTGCTAATGGGTAACCCTCGCTTGTTTTCAGCTTTCCATCCACACTGCAACCAGAGGAGCCAGCAGAAGGTGCCTGTCACTGTGAAGAAAACGACTCAGAAACGGCGGTACAACAGCTCGAGTCGAGCTGCAAAAGCTTCTCCCGTCCCGAAGATGAAGTAGCTTAGTTGAATTTGGCAATCTGAAGACAGCCTACTAATATGAATGTTTGTTTCGATCCTTTCCGACATGATGTATTTGTTTCGGGAGCCCTTAGCCCCTAAGCCGCACTAAACCCTGAACCCTAAACTTAGCCAACACCATGGATTGATCAAGCGGTTGCTGCCACTCTGTTTACCGCTTCCCAGGCAACGTCCGGAGCGAGAACGTCTCGACGCCATCCTGGCCTGCAACCAATGCAACTGCACACGCAGCTTCAAGAGACTTCGGGCACAGAGAACGGGGTTGCTGGAGTTCTGTATTGCTTTCCGGACTTTGGGGAAGGTCGAGCAGGATGCCTTCGCGCCGAGGCTTGCAATGATTTATCGAAACCCAAATAACACTTGTGCGCGGATGTAGGAAACTTGGCAAGCTTTTGTCATACTTCTCAATCTGAACTGCTCGCACTAAGATCTATGACAGCTTTGTCGGGAGCGACGGTGCAGATACTCCCAAACGATCCTACGATCTGGTCGGGGTTACAGTTGGTCGGCCCTGCTTGTGCGCATCTCTGGGGATTGGAAACGGACGGCTGAACAAAGCTGCTTCAGGTCTAGTGGGCACTCGATTTGCTTGCAATGTGCCTCTGCATCGTGCAGAGAAGAAGGCGAGAAGTGTGGATCAATTCTTACTTCACCTACATGGTACTGCTTCTGATCTTGCACCTACAGGCCCTTGGCCTCAAGAAGTACTCTTCATTATGAATGTGCAGCAAAAACTTCGACAACATAATAATGCTTCGCGGTTCTGTTCAGGTTCCGCATGGCAAACCAAGCTCACCGAAGCGGCTCCAGCAAGGATATGCCTGTGGAGCACGATGCTGATGACTTGGCCCTTCCGGGCGAGGCTCTTGAAGACGACGAGAATCTGAGGCTGGAGATCAACATTGACCGGGAAACTTGGAATCGGTGGCTAGGCTGGAGTCCGTGTTTCTGGATTGGTGTGCTGAGAACTAGAATGAAAAGCCGTACGATTAGCTCCGATCCACTTCTGAGTCGCTGTCAGTTTAAATCTGGATGGCTGTCCTTTGTGTTGTTGTGGCCCAGGCACATCACGACCAACCACGGGTTCAACATCCAGAAGCTCCCACGCCGCTATCTTCCACCAGGCACCATAATGGATCTCTACCGTCACTACTGTGCGACCCAGCCTGATTGCACATTCAATAGGATAGGGGTGTGCGCACAAAATCTCGGTACCTCCAAGGTATACAGTGTTGAAGAATCGCTACCAAAAGAAGTGCAAATCTTGCTTGCCCTTCCGAGCACAATCTGAATTTGCTGAGTGCAACCAGTGCTTCGATCTCAAGCAGGAAATCAAGGCCGAGAAGGCCAGCAATGTGTTCCTTCTCCGGTTCTGTAATTACTTCACAGCCGGAATCGGTGATTCCTAAGGATGTTTCCAAGAAGTTCGGCCTCATTCGCGATTACAAAGAGCATTTGCGGGCGGTTGGTTTCGATCGTGAGCTCGAGCAACATTTGGAAGGATTGGACCCGCGCAACAGCGATGCTCCTATTCTGCTTTTGCAATTTGATGAGATGGATCAAGCGAAGTGGTCATTGCCAAGATACCCCGAAAATCGAGGATCCAAGACCCTACAACAGTATGTGCGACCCCGCTTGAAGGTTGTGGGGGTTTGGGCTTCAAAATACTTGCTGACCCTCTACCTCGTCGATGCAATCATTGCCCACGATGCCTCACTTACAGTGGAGGCTGCAAGTCTGGTAGACAACCTCAAAGTCCGAAAGGCCTTGCCTCCGACCCCAATCACTAAGTAATCCCCAAAACTTCCTCACTCCAAAAACCCGCCTCCACAGGTGCTGTCTCGAAGCATCGAGGACATCATCCAGCATTGCGACTCCAACGGCCTGAGAAGGCCAGCGGAGTTGATTTGCTGAGCAGCTCGCACCGCTCCAGGTTTTGCAGTGGCTTAGGTTTCCCGGTTTGGGCAGGCAGTGGTTCAGGATTTAGGGTTAGGGTTCAAGTTTGGGGCCATGGTTTTTGCATCAACGGTTAACTCAGGCGAGGCAAATAATACCGTGAACCGCACTGTGCTTGGCTACCTCATGTACTTGACTGCCTCGAAGGGATTTAGGACAACAAATTTGACATCAAGCAGGGTGGGCCACACCCACAACCGACTGGATGCCCTCTTTGGATTATTGTCTACGGCAGCGCGGTACGAAGATTCCCTTCTAGACATGGAAGACACCCGCCAGAATCTTGACTCAAGAAGTCCATGAAGCAATCGTTGTAATCTTATGTATGAGTCCTAGAAGTTGAAGCCTTTGCAGTTGCATTTCACTTCGGGCTTCTAGGGTCTCTACATGGGCTCCGACTTTGCCTCTGCAACCCCGACAACCTACCTTCCAAGGAAGCTGGAATCCTGGGTCGGCCCAGATGCACTGATGAAGGTTGTCGCCTTCGGACACGTAAAGGATTGGCAGCAGTGGTTTCTCGGCTGCTTTGTGTTCGGGCTTGGCACTAGTAAGGTTAGATCTTACTGCTCCTTTGATATACTCTTGAAGCCGAGAACTTAGAAACCCAATAGCCTCAAACCTTAAGTGTCAATAAATTGGTCGAGCCTGGCACTTGTATTGGTTGGATGTTACTGCTGCTTCGATGCACATCTGATGGGCATACAGCATACACCTTAAAGTTACAGACCCAATAGCCTCAGTCCCGAAGACACAAGAAACGGGAATCCCAGCACTGAGTCCTTAATCCGGCTGCCAACTGAAAACCATTCCCCAAGGACCAACTTCAACGGAACTTAGAACAATTCCCCTCGTTATTTACGATTTCGTGGAAGCCAAACCTCGGCAGGGTGGACTCTCTGAGAGTGCACTGGCACGGGGCTTTGCTGGATACATCCGAGGGGTGCACTCCTTTACTTTCATGCGGAGGCATGGCAGCTTGCCGGCAATTAGTTCGTAGTGCACGGGTCTGTGGATGGGTTGTGGGATTATCTCTGATGATGGGAAGGACGGTGTCAAAAGCACACGGTTTAGGCTCGGGCTTCAGAGTTAAAGGTTTAGGGTTTAAGGTTTGGGGTTCATGCCCGGCTTCGGAATTAATTCCTTTTTTCCACACTTCCGTATCGAAAGGGCTTCCGCCAGTTAAGGCTATTACAGCGCTAAGCGCGACATTTCTGGGGTTTGTCCCACACGAACAGACTTTTAGAGGATCGGCTTATGATTCATATATGAAGGTTTTAGGGGTTGGGTTTTGGGTTCAGGTTCAGCTCGACTCACAGCGGCTTCATTCAGTAGCAGATCCGATAGGTCTTCGAGTATCATCAAACGTGATCTCCATTCACGCGTCCCATCCGCTACAGTACAAGATCCGATAGCTCTTCGAGTATCAATCCGCGAACGTGATCTCCATTCACACGTCCCATTTTCTCGACATTTGCGGTGGGGTCGTAACGGTAGACATCATTAGACAGGCCACATATGTAATGAAGCTTGTAACCCACAGCTTTGCTCAACTCTCCGAATCGGACAACGCTTTCATGACGCGAAGATAAAGCTCGGCCTACAGAGGCTTCCAGTGGATCGGCTGCCGCTCCTGATTTGATAGACGTGCAGCCAATGCTCTTGAATGCTCTGGGTGCGATCAAAACGGTCACAAGCCTGCCGACGTTCTTTCCCCATGCCGTGCCGGAGTCGTGCCCCATGTCATGGTATTCCTTCCGTTCTTCAGGGGGAAGACTATGAGTTTCAAGAAAGTATTGGCTTGCCCACCTCTCGTCCATTTCAGCCGTGTTCAGTAGATCTTCGATCTCATCTACCAGCTGTAAGCGAGCGACCGCCATTCGCAAGAGGAAGGGGCCGAAAGCCACGGGTCTGTGGGAAAAATCGAGCTGCCGAGAAAGGACGTACGCCGATCACTTCTAGTTCACAGAATTTGAAGGACATTATTTCTTCGCTTGCGATTCCTGCAAGCTTTGTGTTAACAAACAAAAGTTTTCGCCACCTTAATATGTGGTCAAAGAAGATACGTATGACTATAATTGCACGAGTATGTTCTTCAGATCAAATATCTTCATAAAATAATTTATGGGAGAATATTCGGACACTCATTCGAATATATCTCAACAAGGTTGAAGGAACGCGTCACTCTCTTTTTCTTCTAGGAAAGCGTGGGGTCAGCGAACAGGTTTTCATGCCACGGTGGCGAACTCTGTCCTTCTCACACCCCGGGTGGGTGAGTGGGACGAAAAATTTTCTCTGTGACACTACCTTGGAGCATCGAGACAACGTTCGGGACATATATTCAGTAATCCATGTTGTAATCAAGGAAATCGTAATGCGAATCTGTTTTTTCCGAGAAAAGCGGGATTATGAAACTTTTTCGAAATAAAAAGGGAAATCAACAAATTCATCTCAGCTCAGAAATAAGGACTTATCAAGCTCGCTTGACGTCCATCTTATTTCTTCGCTTGCGATTCCTGCGAAAACTTTGTGCTAACAAACAAAAGTTTTCGCCACCTTGATATGTGGTCAAAGATGATAGGTGTGAATATAATTGCACGAGTATATAATTTATGGGAGAATATTCGGACACTCATTCGAATATATCTCAACAAGGTTGAGGGAACGTGTCACTCTCTTTTTCTTCTAGGAAAGCGTGGGGTCAGCGAACAGGTTTTCATGCCACGGTGGCGAACTCTGTCCTTCACACCCCACGACCCAGGAGAGAGGAGCCACTGCAACTGAGCCCTAGCTCAACGCCAGCGAGAACACCTCTGCTGGGCTGCAATTTCTTCTCTCGCCCCACATCGGGCGGAGTATTCCACGGGACGGCTCATCTGAGACGTTGCTTGAGGAGCAAACTCTCTCGAACCACACAATGCAATCCGACAAGTCAAGGATGGTATGAACCAAGCGGACTATGGCGTTCCCTTCGGGATTCTCGGAGTAGCCTTTGATAATGGAGCCGAGGGCACCATTGTTGTCAGTATATACAACCAGGTGCTTTCCGCCGATGCGCGAGTGCCACAAGTGCAGAGTGCACAAAATGACAAGACACTCAAGCTCAAAAATGGGGTTCTGACTCCCTCCGACATTGATGGATGCAAGAGCAAGCTCATCAAGCATCTCGGAGTAATACTCCAAGTACTGTCCGGAGCTGTCGATAAGATTGCCACCCAAGCCTGCAGGATTAGGGGCTCCGGGCTCGTGGCAGGCATCCACGAAGATGTGCGCGGTGTCTTGAAGGGCAGCAGTAACTCGCCTGGGCTTACCGCCGGAGATGCGGTCCTTAAGGAAAAGGAGGGGGACCCTGGTCAGCTTCCCAAAGAGTTGACTTTCCATGAAGTTCAGGCGCCCCCTAAGTCGCTCGCCGTCATTTGCCGACAAGAAGTTTTCTCCAAGAGCGTTGTCTATGTCGGAAGAAACATCCTCAACCCTTTTGGCCGTATTCCTAATGACTAACGTCCCAAGTTTCTGCAAGGTCGTACTCGAGGCCTAGAACCTTACATATCCCAGAAAATGGGTTATCCTTGTCACTCGAAGTTTCCCAGCCGAGCAGGCTGAAAAGGAAGTCGATCCCCATTCTAGCTATGGGACAAGTATGTTCTGGCTCCACCGTCGGGAAGTCGTCGAAATATGCGTACCAGTGGAGCCTTAGTACGCACACCCCGACGAGCCAAAGAGCTGCTGAAACCCTACAGAATCCATGTGCGCTCGAGCGCGCACCGTAGGGTAACACGTACTGTCCAAAGACCTTCGCAGTGTTTGTGCATGGGTCATACACACACAAGAAACTTTCATGAAGGGAAGACTCGTGAAGAGGTAGGTTTTCATAGGGTTCTCTAAGGTCCCAGGCCTTCATGCGGGCTTCGGGGCTGCGATCCCTGCTGCGATGGTGTCGGCACTGTGAATGGTTATCGTCTCATTGGCGGACGTTGTCAGGTTAACAAGACTTTCGCGATAGTTGTCAATTGGCCTGCATTTCCTTTGCTCACCGGAAGATTGCCAAATCCGAAATCTACGAGTAAGGATGGCGTCATCGGGAAGCGAGCCCAGGTCAATGGGACCCCACAGCCAACCTCGATCAAGCTCGTCCTGAGTGGCACTGAAAGTCGCTGAATCAAGTTCGGAGTCTCCCGAGCTGCGGCACGTCTCGAAGATGTAGGACCTCAACTTCCCAGAGGTGGATTTAAGTTCTGACGTCGTCATCGAGGCTGTAGTCCTCTTGGCTCTAAAGATGTGCGAGTCGGGGATCGCCCCGCTGAGCCGGAAACCCTGAGAGACCTCATCCACCAGGGTCGTATCAGCATGACCGCAAGTGGAGAGGAGCTCTTTGAAGAGGCAAAGCTTCTTGGTGCTAAGGACCCGCTGACAGTGGGATGGCAAGCTGGCCTTGAAGTCCGACTCATCCTGGCTGAGATCCCGGGCACGCGATGTCCATTGTCTGAGTGCAACGGTCCTAAACTGTCCGAGAGATGCTGGACTTTCTCATGCTTTCTTTTGGATGACCTCCTGAAGAACAGTGGGGACTCCCGAAACGATGTTACCTGGGTGGTTGGCACTGCAAGCTTTGGAGACAAACTCTTCGGGGGTCCAGGGAATACCTACGGTGATGGTCCTTGCAGCCTCAGGTTGGGGTGACGCATTGCGTGATGGGGCGGCGCCCCCCAAGAATCCTACTCTAAGGCGAGTGGCATCCTGCGGCTGGGGTGCAGATGACGCTCGAAGTGTGTAGGCGGATATCACGATCCGATCACCCTCCCAATCCTCAGTGGCGTGGAGGCGGCTCTTGGCGTCTATGG